GATAGGGTGTGGGGCCACAGTGAAGGAGCTCAGAATCCCAGCAACAAGGGGCTTCAAATAAAGCATATGTTTGCAGCCCAGATGACTGCGAAGGTGCTTGGCCTCACCCACCCACACATACTCACAATTTTACAGTATGTTTTTGCTCTGCTGACTAGAAAATCTGGGGGATATATTGGAAGGAGAAGCTGAAAACACAGGGTGACAGTTTTACTGAATGCTCAGGCGTCAGGCCAGCGTGCACTTGTCTTCGTTGGGAGACCCCGCTTGTCCTTCTGTGTGGAGGCTCTTTGCCCTGGCCTGCCTGTCCCCTGTGCTGTGGGAAGACAGGCATCTGCAGCAGATGTGAAATGTGGAGTCTGATCCTTAGGTGGGATGAGAGGTCTCATGTGTGGCCCCTGGGGGCCTGCTTCACATCTGTTAGAGCCACGTGCCCCTTTCAGTCCAGATGTTTGCTGCCGTCGTAAGTGTTCACCCATGTCTTACCAGGTAGGGAAACTCACAGTCGTGGACAGAGACACCTCCCCAGTGAAGAGTGCTCACACCCAAGAAAGAGAACATTCTCCGGAGCTATTCTTTTTAGCTTTCAATAGAGAAAACATACCTGCTAAGAAAAACAATCTAACCAGTTGCAGTCCAAGAAGGTACAGAGAAGGAACTGCCTGGGTCATTAAACCCCTGGAAATGAGTTCAGTGTTTGCATACTTTAAGTGGGGTGATGGGGTTGAAAGGTGGCATAGAGGCTACACTGTTTTTATAGGATCTGAATGTAACCAATGGTTACTGTCAATACTTTAGTTAGAACCTATTAACCTTGTGGCTTTCCACGATATACAATGTTTGGCCAAAGAATGGAATTTGGTTTCTGCCTCTTCAAAGTCATACCGACATCTCCTGGCTCCTCAAGGCTTTGGAGGAAGGTGACTTTTGAGTTGAGTTGAACTCTCTTTTGCCTAAAGTTAGTGAATGATTGAAGTTGGCCTGTGACATCAAATTTTGTTGTTATTGGCCAGGTAGATGAGGATGGGACTGGGAGATTTGCCGCTTTTAGGTTAGTGTCCAGGATGAGGGGCTGTGCTTCTGAACATTGGCTTCCTCATCTGAACTGGTGGGATGTGACGTTTGGGTTGAACAATGTAGTTTCTAATTATTGGATATTTATCTAAAGAAATTCCTGCAATAATTTCTATGTCTGTAGGGTTACGGGGCTATTGAGGCTCAGGTAAGGGAAGAGTCTTCTAGAATGCCTAGCTAAACTTCAGCTTACCTCCTTCTAGGAAATTACTGGGGAGAGGAAAAAAGTTGCCCAAGGTCACACAGCTAGCAGGGCCAGAACCTCACCCCTCCTCATCATAGACTCTCCAGAAATCTTAGCTCTGGTCCTCCCTCCAGCTATGCCAGCCAGAGAGGGGAATAGTTAAGGCAGGTGGCTTTATTAGGTTGCCACCTGGGCAGTAAGGTGCAGAAAACCCGCACCCAGTAGTCTCCAAGCTACTGCCTGGGAGCTTAGGAGTGGGCTAGGGGTCCCGCCGCGTGTGGCGGCGCGTGTTCTAGTGTGGCCGGTGCTCCTCTGTCACCGCGGCCTTTCCACCTAGCTGGCGGCCTCCGCGCCGCGCGGGTGTTCAGTTTCAGCGCTGGGATGAGCGCAGACAGCGCCTGTCTCCCTGAGGAAGGAAGGCGGCGCGAGAGGGCCCCAGCGTCCTGAGCTGGGGCCTGGCAGCACGGTGGAGGGGACTCGGCTGGCTGCGGCTGGCTGCGATCGCCCCACGGGTCTGGCGCGCAGTGCGTCGAGCCTCTGCGGAAGGGGGACGCCTGGGAGCCGCTCCACGGCCGCCGAGGGTAACCTCCTTTGTGGCGCGTGGGGCGGGTGTGGGTGGCCTCCTGCCCGCGGGATGCATGGCCAGCATCGCTGAGCTGTTCTTTGTGTCTCCCGGGGTGGGTTGGAAGTGTGGGGTGTGTACGTTAGCGCCCGCGCGGCGCCTCTAGTCCGTCACCCGTCGCCAGCTTTCCTGAGTCTCTCCATCAGACCTTAGCCCGAGGGGATGCCACCTGGGCCACCTCGGGGAGAGTTTCTGGAAGTTGGAGGGAGAAGGACGAGGTGGGGCTGCCCAGCCTCTGCAGACCCCAGGCCGCGCCCCAAAGTTGGTGAGGCAGGTGCAGTGCCCCCTTATACCTCGAGCCTTCCTCTATCCCGGGCCTCCAGCCCCTCAAGGACTGCGCTCCTCAGCTACGGATTTTCAGCAATTCTCAGCTGCTAACTTTCAGGGTGCATAGAAGCCACCTGGTGTGGTGGGGGCGGGGTTGGGGTGTCGCGTGCGTGGCTGTCCAGCCTTGCCGTTGCGGAAACCTGCCTGCTAGCCTGCCTAGCTGGCGGGCTGGCGGAGGGGAAAGAAAGCTTTAGCTAGCGGCTGTGGCACCAAGCCGAGCCGGGGTGCCCATGTGACTGCGGTGTGCTTGGGAGGAGGAAGCTGTAGAGGTCAGTGCAAAGGCGTCACGCCAGAGCGAGCAGGAGCGAGGAGGAAGCCCCCAATCAGCGCGGGTGGGAGTCTTGGGGTGGCAAGCGCAGGGTTGCCTTTGAACTGCAGGGGCCGGTACACAGCCACTTCCGCTTAAGGAGAGGGTTAAGGGCTCGAGGGCTGGAATGGACACCGAAAAGACGGGTCCACATTAGAAGAGGCTGGTCTGGAAGGAAGGTTCTAACATAGTAGGTCCCTGAGGGCAGAGCAAATGCTTGGAGAACTTTCCCTGCCTACACAGCCAGAGAGAGCCCTAGTTTTCTATGTGAGTGGTTGGGGCGGCGGTGGTAAGGGGGTCTGGAAGATGGGCTAAGTGGGAGTGACCCATTTGACCAAGCAGTCCCAGGGGTCCTAGAGCTGGACAAACCAAACCTGGTTCTTTCTCCCTGGTGTAGGTGCCCCGTGGGCATCCAGCTACAGGCTGAAGGAAGCCTGTCCTCTTGGCTCCACCCCGCACACTTAAATTGTTTTCTCTAGTCTATGTTGAGCTGAGGTTAAATTGTTTTCTCTAGTCTTTGTTCAGCTGAGGCCTGGAGGGGGTGGAAACCAAGGTTAGATTAAAAAAGAAGAAAAAAACCCTGAGAGGAAGAACTGGTTTTAGGGAAATGAGGACTAATATTTTGAAGTGGAGCTTAGAGGAAAGAGGCCAGTGTGGTCCATGAGGGTGGGGTAAGGTAGGGCTTTAGGACCCCCCCCCCCATTCTTTGGAGAGAAGATCTGAGGTCTTAAGTTAGGACCTGTTTGCATCGCCTTGGGTGGGCGGGCCGGCAGGGTGTGTGTGGAGCCCCAGTCAGGACTTCAGCAGCGCTAGTGCCAGCTTCGTGACAGTCCTGGGCTGTCAACTACACCCCTCCGATGGGGTTGCTAGGCAGCGGGGCTCTGATGTACGGGGAGGCCTTCTGATTTGTCAGACTCCTGCAGACACATGGTTAAAGCTCCTTCCAGCCTATCCGGAGGAGGGACGCGGCACGCTGCCTGCATATTGCCGAGCCCCGGGTCCACCTGAACAAGAGGTGCAAAAGGCAACCAGAAGGAGGGGGCTCCTGGAGCCCTCCAACCTTCAAACCAGCCCGGCCCCACGCCCCCCATTCTCTCCACTGGGCTTGCTGCTGGCTCCTCCCTGCAGGTCCCCGCCCCATTCTATCCCTCTTCCCCAAACCACAGAAGAGCAAAGTGCAGCAAGGAAAAGAGGTCAGTGGGGTAAGCGTGTACGCGGGCCTCTGTAGGTGTCAAGATGGGTATGAGGGAGGGGAGATTGCTCTTTTGTGCCCCTTGGGGTTCTTGTGGGTAGGGGGTCAGTGGTAAGGGAGCTAACACCGTTGTTGGTCAGGCCTGGACTTGGAAGCCAGTGAGGTACCCTGCTCACTCAATCTCCGTGCACCCCTAGGGCTAGCATGTAGGGGGAGGAACGGGAGCTTGCTGTGTACCTGCCTTAAAGGCTGGACTGCCTGCCTCTTTTAGTGCTTATCAGGGAGGGAGCTGCTGTGGGTTCCTTTTCGCCTTGAATGCACAACCTGTGGTCCAGCTTCTATTGCCGGAGTTTTTCACCCCTCTCCGATCCCAAGACCATCTTTGAATCCTTCCACTTGCGATAAAACATCTTTGAGATAAAATTCACATATAGCTCACATAGAAAAAGTGTGCAACCCAGTGTTTTCTGGTGCCTTGACAGAAAGGTGCAGCCACACAGTCAATTTTAGGTATTTTCATCCTGATGGGATGAAACCCCCACCCATGTTAGTGTCATCCCCACCCCTCCCCCACCCAGCCCCTGGCCACCACTAATCTGTGTGCTTCCTCGTCGGATTTCCCTAACTTAGGGTGTTTCGTGTCTTCGGAACTGGGTGGGATTTCTAGCTTCATTGCTTACTTGGGGAGCCATTGCGTCATTTAACTTTATCTGTGTAGCCTCGTCTGCAAGGGGCTCGTCTGCAAGGGCAGGGATTGTCTGCACTCTTACCCATTTCTCAGCGCTGAGCTTCATTCTTGGGCTGGACTGCTGGTTGAATGAATGAGATGAATGGGAACTGGTAGTTGGCAGACTACGCAGGTGGTTTACTACTGAATTCCAGGGGGCCCAGCTGCTACAAAGGGGGCTGGCAGCTAGGGAGAGCTGAAGCCATCGGATCTGTGAAGGAGCAGAAAGGAAGCCTTGGGATTGGGGGGGAGGGGAAGGCGGTGGTTAGGGGTCGAAACTGATAGTGGCCTGTGGGTTGCCAGTTCTCTTGGGAACTTGAAAACCAAGACGCTGTCTCTGAGCTCTGGGGTGGGTGACCCATGCTTGAGATTTGTCACCTGATCCCAGGGGTATCCCCCAGGAGGGAAACTCCACTTAGATTTCAATTTTTAAAATAAGAAGAGGAAATTCCCCATCTGCAACCTTTATAAAAGGGCATCGGGTCAGGTGGCTCTGAAGGGTTTGCTCGCCCTGTGATTTGGGGTTGACTTGTGCTCTCTGCCCCCACTCTTGCTTCTGTACTGCAGGTACTGTCTGATGAGTGTGAAGGGTTGTTTCACTGACTTCCACATTGACTTTGGAGGTACCTCTGTGTGGTACCATGTTTTCCGTGGTGGGAAGGTGAGTATCTGTAGCTTTCGTAAGTACTTCGGGCCGGTTTGCACCTCCTAAGACCCTCTAGCATAAATTCCTTGGCTTTGTCTCTGGGTTTTTTAACTTCAGAGTAGAGGTGGCAGTCACTGCCTGCCTCTGAGCAAGAACGTTTTGCACCAGAGATAGACATCGCTCTAAAGATGAAGTAGTGGGGTATATATTCAGGGTGCCTGTGCCAAGTCTACTTTTGTGGGCAGCATCCCTGCATGGATATAGGTGATGCACGGGTTTCTTGAGGATGCCCATGAGGGCCTGGCTCATCTGGGTCTTCATGGACATTCATTTTAAACGACAGTGTTGGAAGAGACTCAGGGAGGAAGTCGGCCCACTTGATTCCAGATGTTTTTCCTCCTCCAAAGTGAGCACAGGCGAAGTTTATTTATTGGGGCCATTTTATCATACATCTTAGGAAATTCCCTTCCACTTCGCTCGCTACCTCCCAGACAAGCCTGTGGCTCAGGGGAGAAACTGTTCTACCCAGCACAGGGAGCATTCCTGCCTTGGTATTTCAGCAGGAATGGGGATATCCCAAAGGCAGCCAGAACCCTCCCCCCTGCTTGGGGAGTCCAGACAGATGGATTTGCCACCCTCCTTTTCCCTCCCCAAGTAGGTGGGGCTCTTTGGGGTTTGTTCAGAGTCTGGAAGAAATCAGAGACTTCAGCCTAACTGCCTCCTTTCCCTCCCAAGATCTTCTGGCTGATCCCTCCAACCCTGCACAACTTGGCACTGTATGAGGAGTGGGTGCTGTCAGGCAAACAAAGTGACATCTTTCTGGGAGATCGCGTGGAACGATGCCAAAGAATTGAGCTGAAACAAGGCTACACATTTTTCATCCCTTCTGGTAGGTTCCTGTTGTAGTCTTGGGGTTGGTCAACCGCTGGCTCCCCCATCATTTGGAGCAGCCTCTTGCCTCCCTGTGGATTCAGCCAGGGTTGGAGGCCAAGTGAGGGCTTCTGTGGGCTTTGGGATTAGGGGAGCCATGGATAAGCCCTGAGAGTAGGTCTGGTGGAACAGAGAAAACACAGAACCTGAGTTGCCATACCTGTGAGCCAGCCTTCCGTGGCTCTTAGAGAAGCCCCGGGTCCTTTCTCTGGGGACATTTGAATGTCTATCTTGAGCCTTCCTTTAGAACAGCGGTTTTCAGACTGTGGGTCACAACCTCTTTGGGTGTCAAATGACCCTTTCATAGGGGTCACCTATCAGATATCCTGCATATCAGATATCGTAATGTCAGATATTTACATTATGGTTCATAACAGTAGCAAAATTACCATTATGAAGTAGCAAAAATAATTTTATGGTTGTGGCCACCACAACATGAGAAACTGTATTAAGGGGTCACAGCTTTAGGAAGGTTGGGAACCATTAGTCTAAAGATTTCTGTGTGAAGATGACAGGCCCCTTAGGGACCGAAGATGAGTGCCCTACAGACGTCAGTGCAAGCTCTAGGAAACGGTTATGAGCCCTCTTAGTTGGCACTTGGCTCTGCTGCCTCAGTGTTCTCTCCTTAAAAATGGGCCAAGTTGTGTGGACTTAGTGAGTTCAGACCTCCTTCTTCTAGTTTCGTAGAAACAGATGAGAGAGGGCCTTTAGCTATAGACCGAGTTAACTAACAGAGGTAGCCAGTGACCTAGGAGTCAGGGAGTTCTATGTGTGTAGGGGGAGGCAGAGTGTCAAGTCCACAGGTGGGAGCTTGTATATTTCTTGGTAATTAGACTTTGGAAGCTATGTCAGCCAGAAGAAAGAGTGGCAGGAAACGGTTGTGATAGGAGTTTAAAGGAGAGTTGTGTTGGGTATCTAAGAAAGATACACTGGAGTTGGCAATGACCAGGTCAAAGAGGCTGCTTCTAATGTGCCTTGTGGGTATCGAAACCAGTGTCTAATCAGAAATAAGATCTAATACGGTGTGACACTATGGGATGAATGCGTAGTAGCAGTATCACAGGTGGGTGAGCAGGACCTATAGGAATACATTTTAAAGAAAGAGTCGTGCTTTAAGCTTGGTGGATTTTTGTTTGTTTTTTTGGTTTGGTTTTGGTTTTTCAAGACAGGGTTTCTCTGTGTAGTCCTGGCTATCCAGGAACTCACTCTATAGACCAGGCTGGCCTCAAGCTCACAGAGATCCGCCTGTCTCTGCCTCTTGAGTGCAGGAATTAAAGGTGTGCGCCACCACCACCCTGCATACTTTTTTTGAGTCTGAAAAATCTACCTCTGTCTTAATTTTTCCTACTTTGTTGCTGCCAGGCAACATTAAGAGATAAAAAATTATATTATATTTATATTATTTNATGTTACATAGGCATGGACTATCCTATACATGTTAGGAGATATGACTTAGTTTCCTGATAAGCTTAGGGTAGTTCTGTTTCATCAAGCATTTATACCGGATCTCATATGAACTATATTTGTTTTGTGTGTGTGTGTTGGGGCGGGGGGGGGGGGCTAGAGTTTGGAGGTCACAGGATAGCTTGAGGGAGTTGATTCTCTCCTTCTACCATGTGGCCCTAGGGATCAAACTCAGGTTCTCAGGCTTGGTGGCAAGTACCCTTACTCCCTGAGCCATCTTGCTGGCCCCAAGATTTGGATTTTAAGTTTCAGGGACCTAAGTGAATACTTTAAGTTCTCTTGGGACCTGGAAACTCCAGCATTTAAACCCTTTGATCCACAGATACACACATTTGAGTTGTATGGTAGTCTGCTTGTGTTTTTCACGGAGAGAGCCTTGAGGGAATCCAAGAGGCTTTAGGAGTGTTTCTGTGTTGGAGAATCTAGTTCTAGTTAACCTCTGACTTAGGTTTTCATTTCCATGGTGATAACCATAAATTTTAATTATTTTTTTTCCTTTTTTAGTCAGCTTTTTTTGTGTTTTGGGATGGGGGTGTTGAGGCAGGGTCCCACATAACCTAGGTTGGCTTGGTTTCACTATGTAGCCGAGAAAGATCATCAAGTCCTGCTCTTCCTGCCTCTAGTTCTGAGGTTCTAGGATCATAGGTGTGTGGGACTGTATCAAGCTTGAGACAGATTTGACACAGAATGGGCTAGATGTCATGATTCTCTTGCCTCTGCCTCCCAAATGTTAGGACCACAGACATATACCACAATGACCAGCCTCCACAGTGAATTTGTCTGTCTGTCTATTGATCTACGGTCTGTTGAGGAATGAACCCAGGGCCTCACAGACACTGGCTAAGTGCTCTGCCAAATGAACTGTAACATGTCAGCCCACCCTAGAAAGCTTAGACATGTTTTCTGCTGCCTTAAGCGCTTGAGTGTCTGCCTCTGTCTCCCAGTAGGTCTCCAGTTCTTTGAAGGTTCGTAGGAGGCTGATGGGTTAGAGTGTGTATTGCTTTTCCTTCCTGTGTCTGCGGACAGAGGAGCTATGTAAGTTCAGCGCTGGTGGCTCTTCAGTCTATCCCTGGACGGGCCAGGAGGACTCCCATCAACAGGAAGATCATTGAAGAGAACCGAGAAGTGGGAAGATCAGAAAAGGGGGCCTGCTGGGTTTATCCAGTGGATATGTTGGCCATCATGGAGGTACAGGAAATGGTAGCACAGGTCAGAGTGCCAGGAGCATCTAGTGAGGAGACCACTGGGTTCACCCTGGTCATTGGAGGCAAACATGATTGTCAAGCAATAGGAAGTCAAGGGGCTGTATCAGCATGAGCCAAGAGACATCTCTTTTTCTGATGTCCTGACCATGTTTGGCCTTGGCCTCCCACTCTGGTTGCAACAGTCCAAGTGAGTTATGGGTAATAATTCTGAGCAGGAAACATTCTATGTCCACCGTTTGTTTTTGTTGTCGGTGTATAAGGGAAAACTCAAGCCCCTCTTCTCCCTATGCCCTTTTTACCAAAAATAAAGATACCTGACCAAAGGTCTGTTTCTCAATTGATAAAGTTTCAGGGTCAGGTTTAGGTACCCAGGTGTACCTAGCTTTTACACCTGCTCACCTGGCTTGTATTCTGTTGCCCCTTCCTGACCTTGTGACTTTGGGAAACTTAATTTCTCACTTAACCAAACCAAACCAAACCAAACCAAACCAAACACAAACCCACCTAACCAACAAACAGCTCAACAAGAAAATATCTTCATGTGGTTGGTTGTTTGATTGGTTGGTTGTGTGCAAACATTTCATGTGAACCAGGCTGACTTCAGACTTGTGACAGTGGAGGGTGGTTTTGAACTCATGATCCTCTAACTCACCTCCCACATTCCGAGATTAAAGCACTTACTTAGAGCTGGGTGGTGGTGGCACACGCCTTTAATCCCAGCACTCGGGAGGCAGAGGCAGGCGGATCTCTGTGAGTTCGAGACTAGCCTGGTCTACAAGAGCTAGTTCCAGGACAGGCTCCAAAACCACAGAGAAACCCTGTCTCGAAAAAACCAAAAGAAAAAAAAAAAGCACTCACTTAGCCAGCCTGATTGCAGGCAGTGAGGGACGGCCTGAGGGGATGTATGATACAGCCCCTCCCTTTTGGGTGCATGTCCAGCCAGGTGGCAGTCATGTTAGGAATACCTGAAGGCTGGAAATGTCTGAGAAGTATTCTGCAGTTCAGAGACTTTGGCTGATCTTAGTATTCCCTGACCTTGCCTTGGAGCAAGAACCATCCCTTGGGAACCTGAGGCAGGGGGATGCTAGTATGGGTGGTAATGTTACTTGTCTCAAGAGTTTTGCTGGAACCCCCAAAAAAATTAAAAGCCAGTTGTGGTGGCATGTAACTGGAAGTTTCTCTCCTGCCTACCAGTTCCTGAAGCTTAATATTAATTATAAACTGACCTATTAGCTCAGGCTTATTAACTAAATTTTACAACTTAACCCGTTTCTGTTATTCCATATTTTACCACAAGGCTTGTGGCTTATTACCTCACATTTTGCTTCTCTGGTGGCTGCTGATGTCTTCCAGACTCCACCTTCTTTTTCCCTGTGTCTTTGTTTAGATTTCCCACATAGCTATATTCAGTCAAAGCAACTTTTTCATTGCCTGCTTTTCCAAAGGTCCTGAGTTCAATTCCTGGCAACCACATGGTGGCTCACAACCATCTGTAATGAGGTCTGGTGCCCTCTTCTGGCCTGCAGACATACACACAGACAGAACACTGTATACATAATTAATAAATAAATAATTTTTTTAAAAAAAGCAACTTCTTTATTTAACCAAGGATAATAAGACATATTCACAGCATACAGAAGGGTATCCCACATCAGTGGTGCACACCTTTAATCCCAGCACTTGTAGGTAAAGACAGGCTGATCTCTGTGAGTTTGAGGTCAGCCTGGTCTACAGAGTGAGTTCCAGGACTGTTTCACAGAGAAAGCCTGTCTCAAAAAAAACCAAGAAAAGAGTTTTGCTTGTTGAGGTGGCCTACATCTTTACTCCCAGTGCTCGGAGGCAGAGGCCTATGGATCTGTGAGTTCAGAGCCAGCCTGGTCTACAAATAATGGTGGCTCTGAGTCCTTGACAGTGTAACTGATGGGGCCTTTGGTAGTCCACCTATAAAATGGGTACAGGACCAGGGAAGAAGCAGAATGAAGGGGGTGAACTTAGCACGTGCTGGAGGGATGGAAAACTCGGCAATTGCTGCTTGGCTCTGGCGCTTCAGGACCAAGGAATACTGGGGCCTGCCTTGTGTATCTTCCCACATTCTGAGGATGGAAGCAGTTCAGCTTCTCAGGTGAAATCTCCCCATTTTGCAGCACGAAGTAGAGCAAACTTAACTTAGCCTTGGATCAGAGACAGCCTGGACTTTGCTAGTTGGCAGCCACAGTGTCCAGGGCATGGGGGTGGGCTGGTCATGGACTCTGCGATGGCCTTGTCCTTGACAACTACAGAAATGGAGGCAGATGTGCCAAGGGGCTCATAGACTGCTTTCTGAGCTCTGGGACTGTAGGTGAGACTTCTGTGCCTCTGTTCTTGGCCCCCTTGGGTCCCAGAAATCACCCCTGCAGTGGGTTTTGTCGGTCACTCTGCTCCTTCCATTGCTGCATTGTCCCCAGCTGCTTGGCCTGAATATGAGGCGTTCACTGCCTTTGTGTTGCTGACGGCAGATGCCAGCCTCTCCTGCCCTGTTACAGACTAGGACACCAGCCTCCCAGAGTATCGTGGTGAATGAGCTGCCCTTGGAAGAATGAGTATTGAACGCCACAGCCTCTCTTCCCATTTCTTCCCAAGGGCATTATTGAGTCTGAGTCGGTGGAAGCAATTGTAATCAGGGCTGGAAAGGAACTCAGCAGCCATTTCAATCTCAGCGAGTCTTCCTGACCCACCCGTGATGCCCTTGGGTGAGAAGGAAAGTGTGTAGAACCTTCCAGAATCTCTAGATTCCCTGCCTACTTACAGTGGCATCTGTCCTCTGTTTTCCTCTGTTCACACTTTAGAGTACTAGATGTCAGTCTGCCTGCAGGGGAGTCTGGGTTAATCAATACATCTTACTGTGTTCACCGTCTTTTCCAAACTGACATAAATGGCAATTGCTTGTGGCAGTTGAGTTCTGGCTCACCAAGTTCACAAGGAAGGCAGTCGTCTTCAAGTGGGCACACATGGCCAAATCAGGGAGAATCTGGAACCGAGGCTCAGGCTTGGGTAGAGGGAAAGGTGGGCATGTGGAGCATAGGAATAGGACCCCGAGGCTCCAGACATCCTCAGTCCTGTCTTAGGAGGTGTTGTTTAAACATCAGTGACGGTGGTCATGGCAGCAGTAGCAGACAGCATAGCTCTGCTTGGTGAAAAGCCAGAAATGAGGTTCTGCAAAGATCACCTGACAGGTGGCAGAGGCAAGAGACAACATTTGTTGTTGTTATTTTTATTACAGTATACAGATGCTCAGTTTCTGTGTCTGTCCCCTCACCACTGGGGGCTGACGTTTGGAGTAGAGACAGAAGTCTAGCCAGTCAGGAAAGTCCAGGTTCAGTGAGAGACCCTGCTGCCAAAAGTAAAGTGAAGAGCGCTCGAGGAGGACACTTGATGTTGGCCTCTGGCCTCCGTGGACAAGTGCACACAGGTGCACGTGCACATACGTAAATCCGTACATATGCTGCCTCCCCCCAGTATAGAAAAGGATGCAAATAGGATTTAATGCCAATACAGTCGCACCAAGCAGATGCAGAAGTAAGACTTTTTAGACTCCACCATTGTCTTCCCAGAGCTTAAAGGTCCAGGGTGCTTGGTGGTTTCCTCCAGTGGCGCAGCGGTCACAGAGCAGCAGATGGCCTGAGCCAGAGACCTGAAAGCAAAAGCAGAGCCTCCATTCCTGTACCCCATGGTGTCCAGCTGTTGGTGACAGTGTTTGGCTTTTCTCTGATAGCAGTTAGCTGTGCCCACACTGGCAAGGAGGGCTGGTCCAGCAGTGGCCTTGGATCCTCCAGATGTCCTTCTCAGGTGGTGCAGACTGTGCACCTGACAACTGATGTCTTAGCTCACCTGGGAAAGAGACTGGACCTTCGTGGAGCCTGGGCAGAGTTAGGTTGGGCCTTCCAGAGTTTTCCTCACATGAAATGGTTAAGCACACGTTAGGGAAGAGAGGCTCCAGGGTCTCTTCTTGCTCCGGTTTGTGTTCTCCCCTCTGCTGGTCCTCTTCTCTCTTCTACTCTGAGTTTCCCCACTGGCTGTCCCAGTCATTGCCTCTGTCCTTACTTCTCATCGTATTTCTCCTTTGCTTCCTAGTGCGTTTCCACATCTGTTCCACGTCAGCCAGGGCAGTGCGGAGTTCCGGGAAACGGCTGTTCTCCCTTGCCAGCTGACTTTTGTTTGTTTGTTTGTTTTTTGGTTTTTGGCTGTTTGTTTGTTTGTTTGTTTTTGTGTAGCTCTGGCTGTCCTGGAACTTGACCAAGCTTGCCTTGAACTCAGAGCTCCCCCTGCCTCTGTCTCCTGAGCGCTGGGATTAAAGGCGTGCGCCACCACTGACCTGCAGCAGCAAGGGACTCATCTCTCAGCCTGTTTGAACATCTGCAAATTAGAGTCACTATAAAGCTGTATCCCCCTAGCTCCGTGTCCAGGGACCACAGTGATATTTTCTGCACTGGCAGTGTCACCAGTCTCAATGGAAGTGTGATGTTGTTGAATAAAATCTCCACAAACCAGGCAGAGGCTAACTTTGGGGGTTCAAATCCTTGCAGGTGACTTTACCTTAAAACACCTTAGTTTCTTCACCTGTAAGTTGTAGTTGAAAAAGACATTGCTTTTGTAAGAATCAATCAACTGAGACCCGGGAAAGCCCTTAGAGTGCACCTGGGGAAGTCACAAGTGTGACCCACACTTTTAAACAGTTGCGGTGTGAGCCAGGCGGTGGTGGTGTCACACGCCTTTAATCCCAGCACTCGGGAGGCAGAGGCAGGCGGATCTCTGTGAGTTTGAGGCCAGCCTGGGTTATAGGAGCTAGTTCCAGGACAGGCTCCAAAGCGACAGAGAAACCCTGTCTCGAAAAACTAAGAAAAAAAAAAGAAGTTGCCTTGTGTAGAAGGGACATCTACCATGGCTGGTAGTACACGGGGAAGAATAGAGGGGACAAAAAAAAGGCTGAAATGGGGTAGAAGCAGCCTGTGATTAAGGAGACAACTTAGATGCGGGCCTTGGAAGAGTCCATGCCCCCAGGATGTGTTCTGCAGTAAAAGTGTCTGGGTTCTGTGGTCATTGCTCTGAACTGTCCTTTAGGACCCCTCCAGGGACCAGTATTCAAAGGAATAACTAGGGAAAGGCTGGGGGGCTCAGCATGGATGCAGGGACCAGGGCATTCTGTTCCTGACAAGTTTCCTGACTTGAGTTCCTACCTCAAGTCCCGCACTTGCCTGCAGCATCCCAGACTTGAATTAAGCGGGGCCTCTAGGAGCTCTGGGCTGAGTCCCTCCGGCTGCCCAGGAGCTTTGGTGTCTGAAATGCCAGGCATCGCATGCCCTTACACATCGGTGCCCCCTCTGCCCTCCCCGCCCAGGTTGGATCCATGCGGTATACACCCCTGTGGACTCTCTGGTGTTCGGCGGGAACATCCTGCACAGCTTCAACGTGCCCATGCAGCTGCGGATCTACGAGATTGAGGACAGAACCCGGGTAAGGGTGCCCTCTGCCCCAGGGCTGTGCTGGTCTTTCTCAGTTCCACTTTAATTCCCCCCACTGCTGCTCCTCTCAAGCTGGGGCCTTGGTTCCCGTTCTGGAGGGAGCCAAGACATTCTCCAGCAGAGCCCTAAATCCCTGGAGTCCCCCCCCCCAGGCTGGAGGCAGACAGAATCCTCTGTGGGGAAGTTGGGCATCATTGTGCATTCCTACAGTCTCAGCTCTTGGGAAGTGGAGGCAGGATCCAAAGTTCAAGGCTAGTCAGGGCTACTTAGAGTGGGACCAGGCTGAGCTACATTTTATCATTAAAAACAAAGCAAAAAACAAACAAACAAACAAAAAACTTTGTGGAAATTCTACCTGAGCAAGTGTGTGTATTTGTCTTGGGAGAGCAGTGGGAGGTGGGAGGGACCCAGCTTTTTTTTTTTTTTTTTTTTTTCTTTGCCTGTGTAGAAAGGTGTATGGATCTGAAGTTTGCAGGGGCTGGAGAGGCTTGAAAAAGAGCCAGCCTGGTCCAAGGTCACATCTTTCCTACTGAAGTCTGATGGAAAGAAGTTGGAGTTTTTAGTCTTGCTGCTGAGCTCAAATCCCCCTCGAAAGCTGTCTGGGGTGAGGCTTCCCTGTGACCGCTTGGGCCGTGCTTTCTCAGCTATCAGATTTCCCAAGATAAGGTCATATGTACCTTTTGTTCCTGGAGTTTGTTTTCTCTGAATGTCCATGGCTGGGACTTGGCCACCTTCCTTCCATACTACGCTTGATCACATGCACCTAGACATTTGAGGCGGGTTCAGGGGTGAGAGTGGCTGGGAACCATCTGTAATGAGATCTGGTGCCCTCCTCTGGCCTGCACGCATACTTAGAGACAGAACACTGTATACATAATAAATAAATCTTAAAAAAAAAAAAGGAAGGAAGGAAGGAAGGAAGAAACTGTAGCCCTGAGATGGAAAGGGCCTATTTCATATTCTCCCTCCTCTTTCCTCTTCTGTTTTTAATGTGGCTGTTTAAATATTTCTTTGAATTGAGATATAACTCACATACCGTGAAATTCACCATTGGGAATGTGAAGTTCTGTGTTCTTAGTGTGTAGCTATCACCACTAACTCCAGCACATTTTCACATGCACCCCAGGAACCCCTGTACCCATTAGCAGTCATTTCTTCTTCCCTCTTTCTCCAACCCCGGAGGTCTCTAATCTGCTTTCAGTCTCTATGAATTGGCCTGTTTTAGACATTTGTTACGAATGGAATCATGTAGTTCATGCCTTTTATATCTGAACTTTTGCACTCAGCATGATGCGCCTTTTCAAGGTCCATCCATGTTGTAGCACATGGCAGCGATCTCATGACTGAGTAGAACTCCACTGTATAAACAGAATACGTGACATTTCTGCTTGGGATTTGCCTCAAGATGTGACTTTTAGACCCCGAAGAAGTATTGATGAGCAGCCGGGCAGTGGTGGCGCACACCTTGAATCCCAGCACATGGGAGGCAGAGGCAGGTGGATCTCTGAGTTTGAGGCCAGCCTGGTCTACAGAACAAGTTCCATGACTGGCCCTATAGCTACTGAGAAACCCTGTCTTGAAAAACCAAGAAAAGAAAATGGTGAGCTTGGACTCTGGAGAAATACTTCCCGCTGCTCCGATCAGAATTTATCTTTCCAGTCTTGTTTTTAGGGCTCATTTTCATGGGATGCTACATTGGAGTTAAAGTGAGGCAGCCAGTTGAGGGGGCCCAGGGCGTGATTGCGTGTCCAGTTTGTGGATTTCCTGGCTTGCGATGCCCACTTTCACACCGTCCTGGGCCACGATCCTCTGCAGACCCTGTTTCATAGGCTCTTCTGCCTTTCTCGAAAGGTGTGCGTCCTCTGTGCTGTCCAGGGAAAGGGCACTGTCTGGGCCCAAATGGTCACTTTTCAGTCTGAGTCAAGTGATGCCAATGGTTCTTTGGCCAACCCTGAAAAACAGGCCATTTGTTGTGAGCAGCAACCTGCCGGTGTGGATGGAAGGCTGGGACTCCAAAGGAGAAGTCAGGCCCAGACTTCGCAGGCAGTTCCTGAAAGCCACAGTCAGACTGGGATTTCTCAGTTTCTCTGGCACCTTGCTGGGTAGCTGTCCCTTCCCAAGGGAATCTGATTGTCCATCTCAGAACACCTGCCCCCCCTCCCCACTGCCCGTGTTATTACCCCTAGGAGCCTAGTTCCTCTCCCCAACTGGTGTCACTCAAGCAGGAGTCAGGGTAATGGACCCCCCCCCACACCCTCTACCCCTACAGCATCATTCTGTTTGCTCTGGTGAAGTATCTCATCACAGTAAGATGCCCGTCGGCTCCCTCCCCCAGGGCCGCCTGTCCTTAGTCTCTGAGGGGGCACCCATCTGGCTTCTCTGAAGCAGATTGTTGGCTCTAGGGCTGGAGTAAGGATGGCTGTGGGGGGCAGGGGAGGAGGGACAGGCTAAGCTGGAAGCAACAGCAGGCCTTTTAATCTGCTTTAATTTCTGGTCTTTGGAGAGGGGCTTGGCTACAAGGTCCAGTTGTTTCTGTCTTAGGAGCCAAAGCAGACAAAAGGCCCTAGAGAGAGTCCTGGAAGTCAGATAAAATGTCAGGACTACTTGTCAGCCTGATACAGCTCAATTCCATCCATTCCTATCAGCTCCTTGAAGAAGGTTATGGCCACTTAAAAATAGTTTTTCCCAGAGTGTTCTAAAACATACATGGCTTTGCTTGGAAACAAACACTGGAGGTTGGCCAGAGTAAGGCCAGTGCAGGAGTCCCTCGCCCCTCAGTGTGGGTTTGACTTTAGAAAAGGAGTCTGCCTGTGTGATGCTGGGCGGCAGTCGGATGGGCTATCTAGTCCTCCTGTGTGATGCTGGGTGGCATAGGATGGGCTATCTGGCCTTCCTGTGTGATGCTGGGTGGGGTCGGATGGGCTATCTAGTCCTCCTGTGTGATGCTGGGTGGGGTCGGATGGGCTATCTAGTCCTCCTGTGTGATGCTGGGTGGGGTCAGATGGGCTATCTAGTCCTTCTGTGTGATGCTGGGTGGGGTCAGATGGGCTATCTAGTCCTCCTGTGTGATGCTGGGTGGCATCGGATGGGCTATCTGGCCTTCCTGTGTGATGCTGGGTGGGGTCGGATGGGCTATCTGGTCCTCCTGTGTGATGCTAGGCGGGAGTCAGATGGGCTATCTGATCCTCAAATCCTAAAATTCTTCCACATTTGGGAAATAACTTCATTGTTCTGTGCTAGATGCTAGGTGACACTTAGCCCCGTAAGGCAGTGCAGACAGGTCTAGGCCTCCAGTTCCTTCTGGGAATCTCCTGCTCTGAAGATCACAGGAACGGAAACGCTAGTGCAGAATGGATTGCCGCCCTGCGAGCTTCTTAATTCTGTCACAGCAGTCGTGATGTACGTCCTTCAGCTCCAGTTAGCTGTGAGGGCAGGAAGGGTGGTCCAGATGACCACTCAGCAAACTGCTGTCTTTCTTATGCTTGTCTTTTTTTTCCCTTAATGACTCTAGTGAAAACAGCCTTCCCCGAAAAGGTAATGCCGGCACCCCTCACGTTCCCTCCCTTTTCAGCCAGTGACTCTGTTCGAAAACCGCAAACTATTTTCCTTTCCTCTCCCCTCCCTCCTACCATTGGGTTTTTATTTTTTTCCCCATTGATATTTTTTTTCCAGGAGAAAAACAAAATTTAAGATACTTCCGCCCTCTCTCGCATTTTAATTTCTCAAGACCTGGGCCCTAGGTGCAGAGAGAGCGCCTCAACTTCCTCCAGCATTCGCTCAATTCTTGGATGACTCAGGCCTCTGAGGAAGGGCTTGGGCCAGGCGGATGCCGCTTATTGGGCCTTTGGAAGTCCAGTTGGACCCCTGAGATCCACTGTCTAATTGTCCTCTAGACAGGGCACAGGACCTTCTTTGTGACTGCCTTGCCCTTTGTTTTGGACAGAGGTTGGTTAACAACTCAATTTGGTGAGGCTCCAAGTTTGTCACCAAATAATGTTGAGCAATCGTGTGTTTAATGTTCCCAGGCATGTGGCTGAAACCTTCTGAAGGCGGAGGGTAGAAGGCGACAACCTGTTTGTAAGTCAATTTTTGCAAATTTTTTTCTGCAATTCTCTCTTGGAAAAAAAAAATCAACCCCCCCCCCCAAAAAAAAAACCCAAAACCAACCAAACAAACAAAAAAAGACCAAACTGAGTTGAATTCCTTCATCTGTATTTGTTTCTACCTAGCTGGTTTCCCTTGGGTTCAGCAACAAAGAGGGGGAGATTTGCCATCCTCTCTTGAAATACAGCCCCCCCCTCTAATTTTCCCCCTAATCTAGAAGGACTCTCCAGTGTCACAGTGCCCATCAAGGGCATAGTGGCGTGGATAGTATAAAAAATTTTAAAAAGTCAAAAGTTCCAAGTGTTCGCGCCATCAAGTCCGCTGTTGGGAGTTCTGAATGCGGGGGTCTGTTTTCCTCAGCTCGCAATTTAGGGATTGGCAATTTGTTTCAGAATATTTTGGCCCAGTCTCTGGAATCGGGATGGGGCTCAGCTCCTCCCCTCAAACTCTTCATCATAGGAGGTCAAGGTCTGCTTCAAGCTCTAGAGCCCCTCTCCTGCCCAGGGGCACTAATGAGTAACCGACCAAAGGCATCCCCACATCCCAGCAGTGAAACTGGACTTCTCCGAAAATAGCTGGAGCCAAGGAAAACACTTGATTCTGCTCCCAACTCCATGCATCTCCCAGAGGAGCTGAAAAGCATGCAGCGAATCATAATCTCATCCCTAAACACGTCATCCGCCAGAGGCAGGGAGGTGAAGTGGAGCTGGTTCCCAGGTGGAGGAGGGCTTGGGAGCTGAGACGTTAGTCAAAGTGGGTTGCAATGGGAGACAGGCGGGGAGGGAGGTCCTTTTCAGTATGGTGCTTAGAGAACACGAGATAAATACGTCTTAGGTAATGGAGGACTTGATTCTGCTCAAAGTTGGTTTTGTTTGAGAGGTACCAGGACCCCGTGTCGGGTCAGCACAGAAAGGGCACGTGGGGCTAAGGGCTGCTTGCTGAAGGGTGAGAGGGGTGAGGAGCGAGTCTCTGACCTTCACAGATCCACCCTTAGAAAAAGGCAGAGAAGAGTGTGTGTGTGTGGGGGGGTTGTGTAAGACCCACTGTGCAGTGCTTGGAGGAGGAGAGCGCCCCACAATGGGAGATGAAGTCACCTTGCTGCTTCCATGTCCGTGCAGGTTGTAGCTTCTGGAAGGTTCCTCCATGCTGAGGTCATTGATAATGGTGTTATTCCTTCCTTTCTTTCATTGCCAGTTTCTCTAAATAGACCCTGTACCGTCACCCATCAGAATTCCCTCGCAGGCCACACATTTTACAGTTCTTATATGCGCTGCTTCTTCGCCTCCACTGATACCCTGCCACCAGACCCCAGTGATGTCTCTCCTTGTCACATTGGGGAATTGTGTCCCTTAGCGTCCTTAGTGGAAACACAAACAGGTATTGTAGGTGGGTGTGAGGAGCAGGACACCGGATGCTCCTAAGGAGCCTACCCTTGGGAGGTAGGCGAGGCTGCGCCACAGTTCACAGTGTCCCTCCAGTCCTAGCCTTCCTCCGAGAATTCAGGAGGCTGTGTAACAGCTGTTGAAGATGAGGACTGGGAGTGGGCGTTAGTTTTCCATGGCGGGGAGAAACAACAGAACCCATGCAAGAATATTCTAGAATGAGGAGCCCATGTCTGTTGTAGGGGGATCAGGCAGGGGTTCTGTTTGCAGGTATTCACAGTGCTGGCAGCTGTCAGGGAAGAACTTTTTCTGCACACAGTGGGCCCTGTTCACCTTCCAAGATGGGTATCTTAGGGACTAAGAATTGATGCCTTCCATAGGCCTCTCTCCGCCTCATCCATGCATGCTGCTGGCACCTACCCCTTCCAGGCCTCCCTCTTGCTTTCCTGCCAGTGACACCTCCCATTTTTCCCTTTTGCCGTTTATGCTCGGGCTAAGATGCTAAGCTCTGCTTCAGGGACCCAGCTGCCTGCCATGTGTCTCCACCATTATTCTTAGAAACTGACCTCTTGCCTGCCTGCTCTTTGCTTCCAGGTTCAGCCCAAGTTCCGTTACCCCTTCTACTATGAAATGTGCTGGTATGTCTTGGAGAGATATGTGTACTGTGTGACCCAGCGCTCCTACCTCACTCAGGAATACCAGAGAGAATCAATGCTTATTGGTGAGTAAAGCTGCTTGCAGCCTTCAGAGCTGCCTGTCTGGTCAATCGTGGAGCCTGCAGATTGCCCTGAGTCCCCTGGGAGTCTCTGAAGCCAGATTGCTGAACAGAAAGTCTCTTAGGAAATAGCCCTGCTTGTGAGCCTCCTATCTGGAACACGGAAGCCAAGAAAAGGCACTTGCGACCCTCAGAAGAAACATAGTTGTCACGCCCTCCTGTGAATGTGCATGCGTGCAGGAGCCAGCGTAGCTAAGACAGGACCATCCAACAGACAACCCAGGCTTTTTTGGTCCCTCTGTAGTTACATGACTTTTCTTACAATACCCTGAGGTGTGGTTTCTGTACCCAGAGGAGCAGACCTGTGTTACACAGCTAGTTTCCATAACCCAGACCAAGTTTACCCAGAAGGGAGGGTAGCCAGGGCTGGCAACACAGGTTTGAGGGTGAAGAGGGTCTGGGATGGGGGAGGGAAAGTGCCTAGGCTCTCTGCCTCAGTGCCCGCACCTGCTGCTGGTTCTTAAAGGGACAGCGCCCTCAGCCATCCCTGGATTCATAGATGCCTACCCATCTGGCTGTTAGAGGGAACCCTGGTCAGCTTGTAGGAGCCAGATCTTCTTCCCCGTGTGGGGCAGTTTCTGGGAAGATGAACTGAAGTCCATTCCTATCCCAAGACACAAACCTCACGTTCACAGCGTGTGCAGTTTCTTCCGCAGTCTCTAATTCATGGGTCTTTCCCCCTTCTTTCCCTCGGTCTTGACTTTTGTGCCTTTTGTGGTATTTTGGGGGTTTGGGCCTGGACAATGGAAGTGTTTTGTTTTGTTTTGTTTTGTTTTGTTTTTGTCTTTGTTTGGATATTGATGTTTTGAGGTAGAGCCTTGCTATGTAGTCCAGGCCGGTCTAGAAATAACTCTCTGTGTAGTCAGGCTAGCATCAAACTCTTAGTCTTCCTGCCCCAGTTCTCCAGTGCAGGAATTTCAGGCATATTGCTGGTGGTACTGAGCTGGGAACTGAACCCAGGGCTGTACATCCCAGGGAGTCACTTGGGGGCCCTTTGGTCTATCCCAGGTGTGCATAGCCATCAGCTCTGACTATGCCCGTTTCCAGAAGGAGTATTTCTGTGAGCTCTCACCTTTTTTTTTTTCTTTTTGGTATTTTTATTTTGGTGGTCTTTGAGACACGGTCTTATTATGTAGACCAGGCTGATTAAAGGCACATGCGACCACACCTGGCCACCTCTCATCTCCTTATCTCTGCCCATCCCCAGCCCTCAACTGTCACCAGTCACCAGTCTGCTTTGTCTAGAAATCCCCCCACCTTGCTCATATTTTATACGAATAGAATCCTATCATGTCTGGTGTTTTGGACTGATCTTTTTCTACTAATTTACTTTCAAAGTTTAAAAAATTACATCTGTTGGGACTGGAGAGATGCCTTAACAGATAAGAGCACTGGCTGCTCTTCCAAAGGATACCAGTTCAATTCCCAGCGCCCATATAGCTCCAGTTCCAAGGAATCCAATATCTTCGCACAGACATGTATAGAAGCACAACCCCAATGCACGTAAAATAAAATAAACATTGAAATAAGTTTTTTAAAATTACATTTACTTAGTGTGCCTTTCTCCCTATCCCTCTTTCTGTGTAGGTGAGATCTCTCTGTGTGTGTGTGTGTGTGTGTGTGTGTGTGTGTGTGTGTGCATGCAGGTGAAAGGTCAACTTTCAGGAGTCTGTTTTCTCTACTGCTATGTAGGTGCCAGGGATTCAACTTAGGTTGTCAGGCTTGGCAGCAAGTGCCTTTACCCACTAAACCTTCTTGCCAACACTTGACTAATTTTTTTTTCTTTTTTTTTTCTTTTTTATTTTATTTTTTTTAAATTTTATTTTTTTTCTATTATCTATCTAACATCTATCATCTATCTATCTTCTATCTATCTATCATCTATCTATTATCTATCTATCTATCTATCTTTGACTAATTTTTTTTTAACATTTATTTATTTTAAGAGTATGTGTATGTGCTTGTATGGATACTGTGTGAAGTCCAGAAGAGGGCATCAGATCCTCTGGAACTGGAGTGACAGGTGGCTGTGTGCTGCCATGTGGATGATGGAAACCACAGGTCCCCTGCAAGAGCAGTGATTGTATTTAACCACTGGTCTGTCTTTTTATCTCTGCCATTGAGTGACCTGTATGTATATGATAATGTGCCAGGCATATTATCTGAGGTAAAGCACCCCGTGTGGGTGCAGAGCTGGGATTTGAACCTGTGTATGACTGACTACTGCCCTGCTATAGGCCAGGAGACCTGGACTAGACCCTTGTTCTCTACAGTAAGAGTGAGTGGAATCCACAGAGCTTCCAGCAGGGGTTAAGTGATCACTGTTGAATCTCACCGTCTTCCCCACAGATGCCCCAAGGAAAGGCAGTGTAGACGACTTCTCATCTGATTCCTGGTTGGACATGGAGGAGGAGTCCTGTGAGCAACAGCCCCAGGAGGAAGAGGAAAAGGAGGAGGAGGAAGAGGAGGAAAGGGACGGTGCAGATAAAACACCCAAGCCACCCTCCGATGGCCCCACCTCACCTACCAGCACCCCCTCAGAGGAACAGGAGCACACAGGGAAGAAGCCCAAAGCCCCAGCCATGCGATTCCTCAAGAGGACTTTGTCCAATGAGTCCGAGGAAAGTGTCAAGTCCACAACGATGCCCATAGACTACCCCAAGACTCCCACAGGCTCCCCTTCCACCGAGCTCTCTACCAAGTGGACCCACCTTACCGAATTTGAACTGAAGGGCCTAAAAGCCTTGGTCGAAAAACTAGAGTCGCTTCCGGAGAATAAGAAGTGTGTCCCTGAGGGCATCGAGGACCCCCAGGCCCTCCTGGAAGGTGTAAAGGTGGGCAGGGACCAAGGCTGGGTCGGGTAGGGGTAGCTAGCCCTTCTGGGGTTGGTCCAGGTGCTGGGATGGTACTCGGGCTAGGCAAACCTGTCTGGGTTATGGAATCTGGAACCACTGTTAGCAACTGGGCGGAGGCTTGCTCTGAGTGACAGCAGCTTCTTCTATACTCTTTGGAATCTCGAGGCTCTCCCGAAGAAGGTTTTGTGTGTGTTGCAACAGCATTCTATTGGATTTGGGAGACAGACTTCTATCTCTTGGTGATAGAGCTTGCCATTCTGGGTTGATTCCCTAGAGTGTGAGCCGGTGACCGTCCTCCTAGCTAGCCATTGGCTATATATATAGTCACCGCGCAGCAGCCTAAGGTTGAGAGGTTGCCATGATCTCAGCTGCATCTGCTTAGGAAGTAGGCCCAGAGGGTCAGGTAGAGCTGGGATAGGAGGATCCAGGAGAGATGACAGAGTGCCTGCTGGGCATCCCACTGTGTAGGCGCTTCTGGTAGTGCGGACTCCAAGCGCAGAATTGCTTCTGTAGCATCGCTAAGACTGCAGTTATGAAGCTATAAGACTTCTCCCCTTGCTGCTCCAGCATCTGATGAGGGCAGTGGAACTTGCTGTCTGCTAGTGTTAGAAACTGAACTTACATTTCTTCCTTGGGAATTGGTAGTTTATCTAGGCAGCATTGTGTGGCCTTGCAGGGGTTCAGACAGTCAAGGAAAAAGCTGGGGGTTGGGAGTATGTGAAACACTGGGGCTCAGTTCAGATAGCCTGTTATCATATACTGTTATCACAGGTATATGAAACCATTGAATGACAATCGCTAATCCAGGTGCACCTCACTTACTAATTTGATTTTGTTGTCTATGGTACCAGATGGATGCAGAGCATCACACATCCTGGGCAGGTTCTTTTTGGTTCTTCAAGGCAGAGTTTCTCTGTGTAACAGTCCTGGCTGTCCTGGAACTCACCACTCTGTAGAACAGGCTGGCCTCGAACTCCCAGAGATCTGCCTGCCTCTGCCTCCTGAGTCCTGGGATTAATGGCATGCGCCACTCTTGCCAGGCTGGTTTTTAAATTTTTTATCCATCACAAAACAATAGTATTGAGTTCCCAAAATATTGTAAGCGGGTTAAACTCTCCGTGATGCCTTTTACTTCGCTAGAATCCGTGTGTGGTGTGTTGACAGGGAGTGCCCCGGCTCCTGGCCAGATTTTTCTCTTCTTGTATCTCTGCATTGACCTCCGAGGCTGCTTTGATTGCTGGTGATCAGGCCTGTCAAGGTGAGGGTGCAGAGTCCAGCACCAGTGCTGTGAGACTAGGTGCAGGTGTTTAGGAACAGGACCGCTGTGGCTTGCCTGGCTGGGCTTTTATTTAGCTTTCTAGTTGAACGACGGTCTTATTCATTAGGTCTTATTCGTTATTCAATAAGAGAAGGTTGCAGAACGTTAAGAAAGTCATCCTCGTCACCACCTTGTGGAGCTCTCCAGAAAGCTGACACTGGTGGTGTTCAGAGATGTCTCTCGTTTTACTTTCATCTTTGAGGCAGACCCTCCTATATCCCAGGCTAGGATAGCCTCAGAATTGTTAATGTAGTCCAGGAGGACCTTGAACTTCTAGCCCTCCTGCTTCTACCTCCCAAATGTGGGAATTCAGGCACGTGCCACGTGCTCAGTTTATGTGGCGGCAGGGAGCTGAACCAGGGCTGTCTGCTTGTGTGAAGGCACTCTGCCAACTGCCTGGAAATACTTCTCTTTAAATACACTGATTCTGGATAGTAGTACCAGGAAATCAGAATACAGGAGATCCCTGAGTTCAGATTTGTTCTCCACCCCTTGCCATGTGGCCCTGGGCACATCATCCTGCTTCCTATTTTCTGGTGCTTTGTAAAACAAAGATACTTCCTGGCACTCAGGAAGCAGAGGCAGGGGGAATCTCTTGAGTTCAAGGCTAGCCTGGTCTATGTAATGAGTTCTAGGCCAGCCAAAGCTACATAGTGAGACGCTGTCTCAAAAAGTCAAAAACAAAACAAAGATATCAGACACGATGTGCTTGATCTGTCTGGGACCAGATTCTGGTGTCTCTTGGTCACTCTGAAGAACTAAGGTACTTGAGTAAAAACTGATGTGGGCAGGGCTGGAGTAATGACTTCATAGTTTGGAGTTCTCCCTGCTTTCTCAAAGGACCAGAGTTGAGTTCCAGGAACCAGCCACCTGTAAGTGTGGCTCCAGAGGAACCAGCACCCTCTCCTGGCCTCATACACACATACCACACACAGACAGGATGCACAGGTAACTGAAAAATAAAACCTGGGCCAGCTAGAGTGCTCGGCTAAGTCTGATGACCTGAATATTCAATCCCTGGTAGAGAGACATGGTCAAGAGAGAGAGAGAGAGAGAGAGAGAGAGAGAGAGAGAGAGAGAGAGAATTGACTTGACTGATTGACAGCCTCCGACCTCTGACCTCTACAGGTATACTATGGGATGCCTCCCCACCAGTAAATATAATAAAAAAATTTTAAACAATTTTTTTAAAGACTAAAAAGGGGTGCTAGATAGATCAGTGGTCGGGTGGTTAGGAGTACTTAACTGCTCTTGTAGAGGATCCAGATTTGGTTCCCAGCACCCACATGGTAGCTCACAGTCTCCTGTACCTCCAGTTCCAGGGCATGGAACTCTCCCTCCTTTCCCTTTTGGGCCCCTGCATGTACATGATATATATAATAAAGTTACGGACACAGAGAGAAATACATAAAATTAATAAATATGTAAATCTAAAATAACAACTGAAACGGGATCTGGCAAGATGGCTCAATGGATAAAGGCACTTGCTGCCAAGCCTCACAATGGGAGTTAAATCCCTGGAAGCCACTTAGTGGAGGGAGAGGACTAATTGCCCCAAAGATATCCTCTGATCTCTGCCCTTGCACTGTGACCGTGCATGCCCCCTACAAGGTAAATAAATGTAATAAAAGCTGAAATTTTTGAAAGAGTTCAAATAGCATGATGGCAAGAGACCGGGGCATGGACTGACTTTGAGGAACAGCGAGCTCCAGCTTTGGCCAGCCTCTGTTGTCCCATGATCCTTTCCTTCTCTTTCCCCACCTCTCATCCTTCTTTTTTTTTTTTTTTTTTTTTTTTTTGGTTTTTCGAGACAGGGTTTCTCTGTGGCTTTGGAGCCTGTCCTGGCACTAGCTCTGTAGACCAGGCTGGTCTCGAACTCACAGAGATCCACCTGCCTCTGCCTCCTGAGTGCTGGGATTAAAGGCGTGCGCCACCATCACCCGGCATCATCTCCTCCTTCTTTAGGGAACACTTACCTCCGGCCTTTGTTTCCCAGGACTGACATCACAGAGCACCGCCACTGGCTCAGTTGCTTAGGAGCCAGAGCAGCCTCCTTCAGGGCCTGGAGGTGGCAAGCCAGGCAGCAGAATGTTTGCAGAGCCACACCCAGGCCTCAGGCTCTGGGACAGTGGTTGCCCTTGGCTCCTCCTCTCCTGGGGCAGCTGCTAGAGCTGCTAGCAAGCTCGGCTACAGCTGGAGTTAGTGTCACTCCCGACTCAGCCCGTGGTTAAGACTGATTGCCGGTGGCTTTCCTCTCTCTGTTGTCACCGAGTGACGCCAGCCATTGGATTCAGGCCAGATGAATCCAGCAGCAGCGCACATCACCGTAATTAAGTGTGTAGAAGCCATCCCCAGAGTCTCATTCTGGAGCTCTAAGTGCACATGAATTTTGGGGACACACTGATTAGCAGCCATTGTGGGGTGAAGTAATTCACCGATTGCCTAGCAAGCTGTCTCTCCTGGAAATGTCTCTATTTCAGCTAGAACTCAGGAAGAGGGCTGTGTCTCTCAGTGGAGGGGAAGGTGGACTCATTGCTGTCATCCTCAATATGGTTCTGATTGACCAGGATACAGCCCAGCATGTGGCGGGGCTGTGAAGGGCTTGGCCTAAGTAGGCAGAGAGCACCAAGGGTGTAGATGGGATGACTTTCTCAGAGTGAGCGCAGAGCATCCTAACCACTAACCCCCCTTGCCGGGATCTCATGTTCTTCTGGCTGTCATCAAGTTATCATGGCATAGAAAATCACCTATCTAATCGCGTGGAATCATGGGATACAGTAGAGTTATGGGACTACTGAGGATTACGGGGCTACACAGGGCTGTGGGGGTGGAAGACCAAAGAGAGGTTTTCCTGTTTTGAAGTCTCTTTTTATCTCTTCTTTCCCTTCCCCCCTTCTCCCTTCCCCCTCTTCCTTCCTTTTCTATATCTTTTTCTTTTTTGGGGGGTCGGCACAGTCTTACCCTGTAGCCCAAGCTATATGTCTATAAGTAGCTTGATCTTGTCCTAATCTTGTAGCAATATTGCCTCACCGTTTCAAGTATCAGGATTATAGGTATGAAGTAACATATCTGGCCAAGGTTTTCTGTTTGTTATTTTTGTTTTGTTTGTTTTTATTAACAGCCAAATAGAGATCAGCTGTATTGTTCTAACATCAAACTCCAAAGTTAACAGAGAAGAAAGTCCTAAATTAAGAGTGCGTTGTCAGTCAGCGCTTGGACAGTTAACCCCAGCACTTGGGAGGCAGAGGCAGGTGGATCTCTGTTAGGTCGAGGCCAGCCTGGTCTACAGAGCGAGTTCCAGGACAGATATCAAAGCTTCAGAAAAACCCTGTCTCAAGAAACAAAAAACAAAACAACAACAACAGCAACAAAAAAAAGAATTTTCCTGGGCTAGAGAGATGGCTCAGAGATTAAGAGCACTGGATGCTGGCTGTTCTTCCAGAGGTCTTGAATTCAATTCCCAGCAACCACATGGTGGCTCACAACCATCTATAATGAGATCTGGTGCCCTCTTCTGGCATGCAGTCAGAACACTGTATACATAATAAATATATCTAAAAGAAAAGCATATTGTCCAAGGGTGTTGCTTGTCTTGTTTTGTTTTGTTTTTCAAGACAGGGCTTCTCTGTGGTTTTGGAGCCTGTCCTGGAACTAGCTCTTG